ATATATGCAAAAACGCATAAAAATGACAAATGCAAATTTTTTGAAAAAATGCAAATTTCCAGTTCATTAAAAGGTGGAAGTATTGCTTGAGCGGTCGTTTGTCAAAAAATCCATGTATGTAAATTAACTAATGTTCATTTAAATATACGACTGGGGTTTGGGTCCGGGTTGCGATGGATTTCTTAACGATTTTTGGGTTGAGGAGATGCTTGAGGCTGTGGTTGGAGTACTCGAAAGCTGAGTTTAAAATCTTTAGCTCGTATGTGCATGGATAATATCTCTGCAAAGTTTTAGCTTTCTACCCTGCCTGGTTCGCGAAATTATTTCCCGCCAACATATTTTTTTTGGGGGTCTTGGCACGTATGGTGAACATCTTGGAAGTGAGGATGACACACGAGGTAGGAACATATACCAAAGTTTCAGCCTTCCAGCTTTCCTGGTAGCTGAGATGGAAGTGGGTGACAAAATGCATTCGCTTCTGAACACACACACAGACAGCTTCTCGACGATATGTGTTTTTCCTGCGCTGCTATAGCGCTGCACAGCGAGAACGCACAAAGAAGCAAGCGGTTCTGACAGTTATTAGCGTCCGCAGTCTGTATGGTTACTTCGCTGAAAAGCATCCTCGATACATGGGGAACTTATGTGATTCCTCATTAAAAAGTTTGTTCACACAACGATTGAAAAAGCCTCGTACCTTAATCGCTTCCCAAATCAAGTCATTTCTGCAGCCTCAACTAAGAGGTACGATATCCCCGAAGGAGACGGACGAAAATGGATTGGCTCTGACATAGGCCGTCGGTTGGCTAGCGACACAAAAGCTGGTTGGCAGAACGACCTTATAATTCGCTCCACTGACAACACTCCCCTTAACTATCCTCAACGATTTTAAGCTGTATTCTTGGCTTAACTTGTTTCTAGAACTGCCTTATTCTTGTGTTCGTGATTTTAAACTGAAATAAATGCCCATGCAAAGGCGCAAACTAAACTCCTTTTTGCCGATAAGAAATGTTTCGCGAGGCGAAAAAATGCAAAAGAAAAAAAAATGTGGAGCAAAAAAGAAAACGAAATCGAAACAAATTTATTGTTTTCTCATATCTAAATGTGCATTTCGCAAATATCTCCCTTCGGAGGTATTCGACGAGATTATCATAATGGCTTTACCAGAATTACTGTTGGGAAATTTCTTTTTGTATTATTTCGTTATGATGGTAGAAGAGGGAGAGGAATCTTTGCTGAGGAAGCCGACCCACCCTAACTCGACGCTACACTAGAAATCACCTCGAGAGCGGCTGCGCTTCCCGCTCGAGCATTCAGACCCGCACCCTGCTCATTGTGCTACGCTCCGACATTTGGCTGGCTGTGTCATCGCTGTACTGCACACTGACATTTGGCCCGCTCCCTGTCTGTGATACCTATCGTCTTGTCTGTTACCGCCGGCGGCCGTTCTTGAGTTATCTGCGGATTAGACTCACTTAACTTTTAGTGGGGAAATCTTCCGCTACAGGATGCATTCATTGGCGATGCCCGCACGACTATGCGTTTCTGCAGTATTTCGTGTTGTATAGGATCGCTTGGAGTCCCATGGCACCCGGTCCTCGAAGTTCGGAGAGTTAATTGTGCGATCATGTGATACTTTGGCAGGAGACACCCTCTCAAAATTTCAGCTTTCTGGCTTTTTTGGTCCCCTAGTTGTAGGTTTTCTCGCAAACTTTCACACGGAGCCAGATTTACTTGAAGGTTAGTACGGCAGTACTATGGTGGCACTCGGCCGGGAAATCCACAGACAAAATTTCGGCGCCGGAGCTTGCTTGGTTGCTGAGTTGACATATTTGGACAATCACACACACATACACACACCGGGGTTGTCACAATGTGCGTTTTTGCATTTGCATATATGCAGAAACGCATAAATAAGTATAAAATCTATCTAATTACAAGATCCCGGTAAAAAGACACAAAACAAACTAAACAATTAACTGTTATTATGACAGGAAGGCTATATAATTGCTCAGCTAACTAGCAAAACGAGCCCTTCTTTTTTATTCTCAAAGTCCAGATGCATTTTTACGTCAAACCGTTTTCAACGTTTGTCCGTGCGTGCCTATGAAAATACGGGAGCGAAAAACCTCGAAAACTTACTTTAAGAATGACAAGTGGCTCGTTGTTCAGAGGTCCCGCACATGAATACTGCAGATCGAATGCCAGTTCGCCGCCGTAAGCAGTGAGCTGAAGCGCAGAAACATTAACTGGCGCATGAGCCCTCTTTTTCGCCAATCAAGAAATGTGTATTTTAAGTCGCTTCCAAAAGACATGTTTCCGCACAGAATATGTTTGTGATAGAGCCGTTCATAAAGAACCTTCTGCATTACTTGGCAGCTTGTTTGGTTAATTTTTTTATGGCCATCTAACGAATCGAACGTCGACGAATTAGCAACAATGAGGAAGCTTTGAGAAGTAACGTGTCTCACATCGCATATCACACAGATTTGCAGTCAAAGTTACTAGAAGTGATTTGGGAACGAGCGAAGCAGTGCATAAATTGAAATGAGATATTCAAGAACCTTGTTTCCTATGAATCGCGGAGGTAACTTCCAGTAAACCGTCTGGTAATGCGGCTCTCTGTGTGTTATCATCCCTGGTATGCTGAAATCGAAGTCGGAACTCTGTGCATGTCCATCTACATCTGATATTTGCACACCTTGCGACTCGCCGTTTAGGATCAGTTTATCCTGAAAAATTAGGCTAATAGCATGAAGCAAGAAAAAGAAGACATTCTACTAAGAAAGCAAGCCTGCTAGCAATGACACTAAACTAATGATGCGATCACAACAGCAACTCTGCAAACAAACTAATAAATTCGTTTCTACAAAAAATATCGGTGCAATTATAACATGACGGTGCCGCAGTGTTTGAAAGATATCTATCTGGTGCAGAACTAAGAATTTGCTATATCGAATCCGCAGCTATGAAACTACGGAGGTGTCAGTGTGTCTGCTACGCAGTAGGCTGAAAGATGCAGAGCAATGTGCTGGTTCGTACTCGTCTGGACTACAGTGTCGCATCGTAAAGAACAACGTGAACATCACTCAAACACTGCACTCCTACTACGTGGACCTCCCCGACATAAGCGCTACAACATACAACTAACGTTTATTTGACAGAAACATAAACCAATAAATATATATAACTTACACATCCGAGACTCTGAATACGGCATATAAAATAACACTGTTATCATCAGCAAGAATACAAAATCCGCTCATTATCAGCTGAAGAGTTTAACTTGCCCGGCAATATTTAATCAAGAGTTGAGGTGGCCTTTATTAATACAGCACATCCAGCATCGAAGTAAAGGGGTTAGAAGCAAAAGGAACGAGAGAGATATAAGCTTCTACGCCTCAAACTGGTTTCCTAGAAAAATTCAGCAGATGAGGCTTGAAATTAATCAAACATTCTGTTCCTATTATTCTTTTCTGATTAGAAATAAGATAACTTTGTGAGCCAAAAAAAGAGCTTACCTTTGTCCTGTACCAAGAGGAAGAGCGGCACTGGTCGGTGACACCGAAACAAAAACATTTCAGGCAACCTTCTGGTGCTTTCTGATGCAGATGGTACGCTCCTTGGCTACACGAATCGCAAGCTACGCCCACCACAAGGGGCTAAAAGAAACATTCTGTATTTGTAAAACCTAATGTTGTTAATCTTGCATTTAAAATTCTTTCTTTAATCGCAATTTGTTCTGTATGAGCTCACTCAAGCAATGTCGTCTACTCAGCTTCTGATTCACTGGCAGCGAAGCCTGCGTTAAAAATATCGCTGCTACTGGTCAGACACTAGACTCACACACTTACAGCAATGCATCTCGGTGAAATTGCGACTTTTACAAAAATGGTGCCGTGATTCCGTGCAAACTAAAAGCACGAGGCATTAGAAATAAATCTAGGTTGTCTGAGATGCAGTAAAGCTCCTTATTATAATAACCGCGAAAAAAGACCTTGCACTGACAGCGTCCAGTATGATCCGGAACCGGGCTAACAGAGCCCACTACATTACAGCGAGTCTGCTGCTGTGGCTGCGGCTCCGGAGCTGGAATGCTAACGATGCGGACGATACAATCAGGCGTGGCCAGAACACGGCCTTTTACGTTGATCGCTTCACAAGTGTAGGCGCCTTGATCTAACGGTCTGCAATAACACTTATTTAAACCAGACCTGACTATTTTCAACTGACCACAGTCGTCACTTTCAAGACATTGTGGCTAAAGCCGGTTGTACAGGAAATGTTCATGCCCTTGCAATTCGCTACTGCATTAGCATACCGGCAATGGCTGGAGGTATTTTGGTGCTGAAATCTGATAAAGTAGAGTGAGAAAGGAAAAATTTAGACCTAACTGGGCGCAAAAAATTAAATAAAGAAGATATAAGTAACAATCTGATAGTAGAGAATTTTGGGTGAATTGCTTTATGATATTATGTGCGCTCTGTTGCACACAAAGCTACATCCGCATTTCGGCTCGATATGCAGTGCGAATTTGTTCCGTAGCCATACATTTTCAAAAAGCCCATTTTTTAAAAATAAATTTTCACTTTCTTTTCAGAGAGAAAACTGGAGGGTGTATGAATGGCTACCGTATTTTTTCATCAGAATTCACGAAAAATGTTTTTGAATCCCTCACTCCCCATCCCACTTACAAAAAACCCAGGCTGGACCGCACCAGGCGGGCCGGTGCGATTACACATTTTTGCACTTCTCGTGCCGTAGCAAGATTGCAAGGAATCACAGTAGCTAACCCTGTGACATACTGGCCCTCGAAGTTCAGGAAGTCAATTGTGCAGCTATGTGATATGTCATTTGTAGATTTCGGCTTCAGTGACCCGGCGAATGGAAAGGTGCTGGTGCGCAAAAAAAGACCACACTAGAAGAGAGTTAAATTTGAAATCTTTTGGTCGCACATAAGTAGGGAACATTCCCATAAAATTAAAGCCTTCAGCTTATCTTGTTACCGAATTGGCAGTTTTCTCACCAAAAATTTCATGTGTCCGTAAGTGATTACTGGGCGGTTTTAAGGAACTGAATTTAAAATCTTTTGGTCATACATGAGTAGGGAACATAATCCTAAAGTTCCAGCCTTCTAGCTTTTTTGGTTCCCGAGTTAGTGATTTTCGCGCCAAAATTTCCATGTGCCTGTATGTGGGCCCCAGGTGCTTCTAAGCACCTGATTTTGCTCGTACGTGAGTGGGGAACATTCCCATAAAGTTTCAGCCTTCTAGCTCTCCCCGATCCCAGGTTAGTAATTTTCGCGCCAAAATTTCCACGCGCTCGTATGTGGGCTGCGGGCGCTCCTAAACACCTGATTTTG